CCGAAAAAAAGGGAAGGGCAGGAGCTGGAGCCCCAGAGTCCCGACGCCATGCTTTGTGCGCGGCGCCGACCCCCAGAGGTCTCAGCCCATTTGCCAGGACAGGCTTCTCATCCCGCGTCGTTTTGGTCGGCGGCCCCGAGGCACAGGAAAGGTCCTGCAGAGGCCCCAAACAACGAAACACCTCCCGCCGAGAATTGTTCCATGACCCGAGAGTCGGGGCCCACCGAAGGGGGGGGGGACCCTGAGGGGGGGGGGATGGGTAAGATCCGCTGGTGCATCGAATTTCCGAAAAACGATGCCCCCCGCGCGCCCCGACTGTCGGCACCTCTCGGGTTCCGGCGGCGGCCGGAAACCTCGTTTTACATGGTTTTTCTGCAGTTCGATGCGCCAGCGGACTGAACTCACCCCCTCCTGTGGCATCCCCCCCCCTTGCGATGTCCCGAGAGAGCTCACCAAGCGAGCACGTCTGGGTCAGGATCGCAGGGGGAGGCCCGCATCCTGCGCCGGCAGGAACGCCTCGCGGCCGTCCGAGGTCGAGTCCATGGCCGCCCTGCCGCCCTCGTCGCTGGACCTCGAGTTATGCTGTTCCCATCGCACTTCAGGACCGCATCCCAGAAATTTGTTCGAGCACCCAGAAAAGTCTGTGTCGAACGACATCGCCCCCCCAGGGGCCGACATGACAAACACACCTTCCATTCCGGTACTTACGTGGTGCTCGAAATTCGTACTGGAGATCACCTATCATCGCTCGGACGTCCACTTCCCGTGCATTTTTCGATTTCGTGCGTGCACTTTTTTGCTAGATGATCCAAAATGCTCCTCAATGGCCCTCGCCGAGAAAAAATGCGCACGCCCGAGCGATACCAAGATCAAGGCCAAAGTAGGCTACACGCAAGAGTGACCCTGGGCCAGAGTGACCTGTGGTGCACGGCTTAACGGGGGACGCGGGGTGGCCAAACCTGAGCGCACAAACCGCTGCTACCACTTCGCGTTCGGCGATCGGGGGACCCCCCTGGGCCCGCATCAGAAGGCCACTCCGGCGAAAAGTCGATGGGTTGGAACAATGTTTTTTTCATGACGCCGCCCCCCAGGAGGTCTGGACCCATTCCCCAGGACCGGCTTCTCATCCTGAGTCGTTTTTTGACGGCCCCGGGGCCCAGGAATGGCTCCTGGAGGCCCAAAACGGTGCAAAACCGCCCGTCGCGTGTTTTTCACAACGCGAGGGGGTCTGGGAACATCCTAGACCTCCAGGGGAGGAGGATGAGTAGTAGGAGTAGGAGTAGGAGTAGGAGTAGGAGTAGGAGTAGGAGGAGGAGCAGGAGGAGGAGGAGGAGGAGGAGGAGGAGGAGGAGGAGGAGGAGGAGAGAAGGAGAGAGGAGGAGGAGGAGGAGGAAGAGGAGGAAAGGAGGAAGAGGAGGAGGAGGAGGAGGAGGAGGAGGAGGAGGAGGAGGAGGAAGAGGAGGAGAAGGAGGAAGAGGAGGAGGAGGTGGAGGAGGAGGAGGAGGAGTCTTGACCTCGAGGGGGTCGCCCCCAGCGCCGTGGCTGCCGCGCCCCACGGCGTGCTCGCGGCGGGCTGCCGTCGCCCGTCGGCCCGGCGGCGCCGTCCCCGGGGGGGCCACCGCGCCGCGGCGCGCCGCCTCCCGCGGAGCGCCGCGCCGCCTGAGGCCTCTGCCGCCGTGTTTTTTTTTTTTTTTTTTTTTTTTTTTTTTTTTTTTTTTTTTTTTTTTTTGAAAACGCTAACCGTGCCATGCGGCTCCTGCGGGTTCGACACGCGGCGGCCGAGATATCATGGAACGTCTGCTGCTGCTGCTGGTTGTTGTTGAACTCTTGCTTCCGAAGAATAACTACTGATTGATCCCCCGGCCCAGTGCACATTCTATTTCTTTGGATTTTGAACTGCCTCCTGGGGCTCGCACCCTGTTTTAGGAAAACCTTGAAGGCCAAACTGTGTTGTTGGCCCCCGGTTTACAACAACAGCGGCTCCCGCCTGATACTTCCTCACAATTCATTGAAGAATCGCGCTCTCGCTTAGGACTTCCTGGCAATGTACCACCGAATCGCGGCTCCCGCTTGATATTTCCTGAGAACTTATTACAGCATCGCATTCTCGCTTGGGACTTCCTCGCAACGTACTACCGAACCGCTTCGCTTGATATTTCCTCACAATTTATTCAGATGCCGGTCCTCGACACTCAGGAATCGCGCTCCTGCTACATCTTGCCTGGCGGTTCAAACGTCGGGGCCTGCCCGCCAGAAACAGCCCGTTCATGACTGCAGTCGCCGCTCGCTGCCCTTCGCCAGCCTTAAATGCGCCTCGCTGCCTGTACTGGTTCCGCGGTCGCCTTCACTTGCCCTTCGTGGCCCCGTTGCTGCCCTCAGTGGCCCCGTCGCTGCCCTTTGTGGCCCCGCATTAATTATGCCCTTCGTGCCCCCCGCTCGCATGCGCCCGTCGTGGCCCCATACGCATGCCCTTCGTAGCCCCGCTGTCACCCTTCGTGGCCCCCTCGCTGCCCTTCGTGGCCCCGCTGTCGCCTTCTGTGGCCCCGTATACGAATGCCCTTCGTGGCCCCCGCTCGCTCGCGCCCGTCGTGGCCCCATATGCATGACCTTCGTGGCCCCGCTGTCGCCCTTTGTGGCCCCCTCGCTGCCCTTCGTGGCCCCGTTGCAGCGGCCCCGTTGCTGCCCTCTGTGGCCTCGGATTTTATGCCCTTCGTGGCCCACGCTGGCTTTTCTCACGATTTACTTGGGAATCGCGCTATCGCTCGAGACTCCCTCGCGATTCATGCAGGACCCACGCTTCAACAACCCGGCTGCTCGACCTCGTCGCCTGGGCCCGCCTTCCCGACCTGCCTGCTATGGGTCTGCCCACCCGATCTGCCCGTCTGATTCTACCACTTGTTTTCTGCTCCTTGCCCCCCTCATGCTAATTTCTCTCGTGCTGTATTCTTCTCCCTACCCCTTCCACCCGTCCTCTCTTCCTTTTTTTTCTAGGGGCTGCACTAAGTAGACGTACCGAGGGTTTGGGATATACGTATTGATTGGCACGTGAGCAGGTCGGAACGAACAGTCTTAAACTGATTGTTGTTGTTGAACTCTCATTCTTGAAGAATAATTATTGTTGATCCCCCCCCACCGGTGCACATTGATTTTTTTCGATTGAAGGGCTACCCCCGGGGCTCGCACCTTGTTTTTTCTAAAGGAACGTCTTCCTGCTCAAACTGTGCCCCTGCCCCCCGGGCTACAACAACAACGGCTCCCGCCTGAGACTTCCTCGATTTTTACTCAGGACCCCCGCTCCCGCCTGAGACTTCCGCGCAATTTACTCAGGAAAGGCGCTCCCATCTGAGACTTCCTCGCAATGTAATCAAGACCCCCGCTCCCGCCTGAGACTTCCGTGCAATTTACGTGGGAACGGCGCTCCCGCCTGAGACTTCTTCGAATTTTACTCAGGACCCCCGCTCCTGCCTGACATTTCCGCGCAATTGACTCAGGAACGGCGCTCCCGCCTGAGACTTCCTTGCAATTTAGTGAGGACCCCCGCTCCCGCCTGAGACTTCCGTGCAATTTGCTCAGGAACGGCGCTCCCGCTTGAGACTTCCTCGCAACTTAGTCAGGGCCCCCGCTCCCGCCCGAGATTTCCTCACAATGTACTCAGGACTGCGCTCTCGCGTGCGACGTCCTCACAAATTATTCTGGAATTGCGTTTCGGCGCTCAGGAACCACGCACGCGCCAAGGACGCCTTCACAACGTGGTATCTTCCCTCTTCCTTCGTCCTTCCCCCTCCCCTTCCTCCCACTCTCCCTCGTTCTTCCCCTCCTCCTCTTGCAGGGCCCGCGCCAATTCCAATGGCGGGCAGAGAGATGTACGCCCCCGAAGGATTGTCCGCCCGTTCCGGTTTGCCCGTACGTCTAAGCCCGCCGGCCCCAGCAAAGAGAAATAATCCCCCCGAAAGGGGTGTGATCGAAGACGAAGAGGGCGGGTTTCGAGGGTGTAGGGTATACGTGTTGAATGACTCGCGGGCAAGTAAGAGCGTACAGCCTCAAAATGGTTGTTGTTGTTCTTGTTGTTGTCGTTGTTGTCGTTGGTGTTGTTGTTGTTGTTGTTGTTGTTGTTGTTGCTGCTATTATTATTGCTGTTTGTGTTGCTGTTGTTGTTGTTATTGCTGTTGTTGTTGATGTGATTGTGATTATGAATGTGATTGTGATTGTGTTTGTTACTTGTCTGTTGTGTGTGTTTTTTTTTTTCTGGTCGGGAGCTGTCGGACAGCGTGTCGCCCAGACCCCCTCGTGTTGTGAAGAAATCGCGACGGGCTGTTTTTCGCGATCTTCGTCCTCTGGGGGCCCTTCCCGGGCCCTGGGGCCGTCAACAAAAACGACTCCGGATGAGAAGCCCAGCCCTGGGGAAGGGGTCCAGACCTCTGGGGGTCGACGTCCTGCAACAATCACGACGTCGGGGGTCTGGGTAGCGTGCCACCCTGGCGGCCCCGGCGACACGCCATCCCCTGCGAGCGGAAATCACGGTGAGGGCACTGGATAAAGGAACCCTTGGAGAAGGGATCCAGGGTCTGGAAGCCGGGGGGCATCCAGTCGTGGATTGGCCACGGATATCACCGCCGCCCTCGTCCCGATCACGGAGGAGGAGGCGGAGGAGGAGGAGGAGGAGGAGGAGAAGGAGGAGGAGGAGGACCAGGCCCATGAGGAGTAGAGGAGGGAGGAGGAGAGGAGGAGGAGGAGGAGGCTTAGGAGGAGATGGACTCATGAGGAGGAGGATAGGAGGAGGATGAGAGGAGGAGGGAGGATGAGGAGAGGAGGGGAGGAAGGACCAGGAGGAGGAGGCGGAGGAGAGGATGAGTGGAGGGAAGGAGGAGGATGAGGGAGGAGGATGGAGAGGATGAGGAGGAGGATGGATGATGATGAGGAGGGTAGAGGAGGGGATTAGTGAGAGGAGGGACGAGAGGGAGGAAGGCGAGGATGGGAGGAGGGGAGGAGCCCACCGTTGCGTGTCGATCCTCTCCGCGTGCTCCGTCTCGGGAGAGCTCGAGGCGTCCAGGCGTCGAACTTTGCGGGGCCATAGGTGAGGGTGGCGCTGGTCGCGCCGCGGGCGCGGTGGGGGCAAGAGCCGGCTGAGGGCGGCGCGGGATGCCTCCTCTCCTCCTCCTCCTCCTCCTTCCTCCTCCTCCTCCTCCTCACTCTCGTCTCCTCCTCCTCCTCCTCCTCCTCCTCCCCCTCCCACCCCTCCATCCTCCCTGCTCCTTCCTCCTCCCCCTCCTCCTCCTCCTCCTCCTCCTCCTCCTCCTCCTCCCAATGGAATCTTCGGGAATCTTCAGGGATCTTCAGGAATCCCCATGGACTCTTTAGGAATCTTCAGGGATCTTCAGGAATCTTGAGGTATCCTTGGGGATCCCCATGGACACCTAGGAACCCTCAGAGACCCACAGGAGGGAATCCTGAGAAACCTTTGGCCCCCCCCCTAGGGATCCACGAGGGAACCCATAGGAAACCCTAGGGACCTTGAGGAGTTCGAGGGATCCTTAGGGGTCCTTACGATCCATACGAATCCCGATCCACAAG